AAGGAATCATCCACTAGTACAGGTGGAGGAAAGAAGAGAACACTAGACTCGTTCTTCAGTAAAAAGTGACCCGTTTTCCCTCACTTCTGGTATGTTACAGTCGTAAACTACGTAACAGCCATCTAATTCCTTCTACCAGTGCGATACCTTTAGTTACAATATAATAGTCGCTTGCGCCTTTCCAGCTGAGCCTTACACCCTATAAACTATGAATACCTTCCTATCCCTCTTCAGCAGTCTCGTGACCCAGATCACATGGGAACTAAACAGATATCCTGGTCTACAGTTTGGTTTCAGACCGTTCTTGTCGGCGTTCAATTTGAAACAAAGACTAAAATAGTCCGTCGGCGCGTAAATTTAGGAACTATGGTATCACCCAAACAGCATCATTACATTTACCCTGAAATGTAATACAATCCAAAGCAAGGACAACCTGTGGACCTTCGCTAGCCACCATACAAATTTCTCGTCCGATGTTACTAATATTCACACCTGGAGACTAGCAAGAGCCACTGCTGTAAATGGAAACACCGTGGAATATTTGTCTACATGACTTGAAGATACCTAGTGAAAGGAGGCAACCATGTATACAGAAAGCCAAGAATGTCCTGACACGAACCGAGCCTACGGTGCCCGTATGCTGACAAGTCCAGGCATCAATGGCCCAGCCAAGCTTGGTTAAATAAAATCTCATAAAATCACAATATGATAAGAAACGTTGATTTAATGGTCCCTCCTATTTAATTGGTATTATTGTGTATTAGAAGGTGTGATTACATGAGCGACGGTTTGGTGGGATCTCCACTTAGACCCTTCCCCATTCCTTGACCAATGCCACGAGCCCGCTACGAGCCGATTCCTAGCGCCCAGGAGGCAGTTGAAGCTGCTGAAAGGCAGATGGAGGACGCCTTTGATATATCGGACGATGAAGACGACCATACCGACAACGCAGCGGAGACGCGTCCTATGATACCACAACCCACACGACCTGTGGAGCATTCCTCGAGTGGCAATAGTCATGCTAACAATAATCTCTATGATTTTGAGTTCGATTATACTATGCCTCCGCCCGGTTCTCCACCGAGACCGTCAGCGTTAGCGATTCCGAACAACATCTTTGGAAACACCAATGGCGAGCTGCCAGAATCCACGTCGATCCCTTCCTTTCCTCGTCCCAATTGGGTTCAACGTAACCTTGGCTCATGGCTTCCTGACCGGTTCGCTCCTAAGCAGACTAGAGTCATGGGTAGTGGACTCGGCAACGATGGTGTCTTCGCCAATGTGACCGCAAAGCCATCTACGAATATCGCTCCCGATCCTAGCCGTGCTGAACAAGGGTCCAGCTCGGTGCATGTCGCCCCCGAGTTCGAACAAAAAGATGCTCCGCCCACGTATGCTGACGCTCAAATGGACGCAGTTCCACCGTATTGGGATACCACAGTGCTTGCACCTGCACACTCAAGTGATGAGCTTATCATTGAAGGATTGCCCCCAGGCCATCTACTTTCCTTCCTGACCAGCTTATTCATATCATTTTCCTTCCAATTTATCGGTATGGACAAATTACGCTAGATATGGTTCTTAATTACTGACAAATATGGTTAGGATTCATGCTGACATCTATTCTTGCTGCGACTCATGCGGCAAAGTTCGGAAGTCGAGCGGGACTTGGCATGACTTTGATACAATTTGGCTTCTACTTGCGCGGGAATCTTCGAGATGGTGGATATGCTTTAGCAAACGATGTTAATGGATGGCCCGCAAGTCAGGAGCCCCATCCCACATTCACCTCGGCCCAGGAGGCTGACGATTACTACGCCTCTAAGGGTCTCAATCAAAAGGAAACGCCACCTGGATCCTCGGATGTACCATCTATGGCCAATGGGGATTATATGATTCCACAAGAAGTCACTATCGCCACCGATTGGCTGAGCTTCTTCCTGATGACTGTAGGATGGCTTTTGTTCTTGACCTCCATCTTGGGCTTTTACAGGATCAAGAGATGGGAGCGAACAGTTCGTCAGAGCTCTGCACGACCAACCGAATTCAGCAGACCCACGGGCTCGTTACGCGATGGCGTTTCTAGAGACTTCCGAAGGCTCTTTGCCAGACTCCCTCGCACATCCGAAGAACTTCGAAACCGCGAAGCGGGGAACGACGCAGATCCCAACACTCATTCATCTACCCTTTCTCAGCCCCCTACTGAACCTCCACTGGACCCAGAGGCACGCCGCCGCTATGAAGCAGCATTGCAGATCGATCGACAGTACGTCATTCCTCATTCTTTTGTGCAACTTGAGTGTTAATCTGTTTATAGAATCGAACACGAACTGCGTCGAGCGGGTCTTTTATAGTCGCTATTAATGGGTTTTTATCTACCTGATCTTTTCTTTTCTCCAGATGGGCTCTTTGCCCAATTCTGGCTCCACACTCATTGGATTAAGAAGGACTTTTTTTTTATAATTACAATTGATGTTGCTGTATCCACATTGTGAAGAATTATTCTAGAGTATCAAACTCTGAACCTCATGAACTAAATCTTGAGTTCGCTTTTCGGTGGTTTTCTTTGCAACTGCACTGGTTAAGCGTAACCATCCTGCGGTAGCCTTGCCTAGCTTCGGTTTCGCCACAGAAGATGCCTAGCGATTGTGGTTGGTAGGCAATCAAAGGCACGTTAGAGACGGAGACTTACAACATTACCAAATGCTATTAGTGCCCGATATAGGGTTTCCTGATCAGAATTGGAGTTTCCCAAAACCTAACTCTTGTTAGATGCTAGAGCTGTCTGTTGAGCTCACATACCATTTCAATCAAGGCAAGGTGTTTTTCTTGGTCTTGATTCGCATTTGAGGATCTATGTATGATACAACTATAGCTATAAAGGAGGAGTTCAGCGCCGAAACAATTAAGCGGATTGCGCTTACTTCAGGAGGAGAGTTGCAAGGGCCAAAAGATGCGCTTTCGTCCACACGGCAGCAGGAATGGCCTGTAAGCTTACCATCACCTATGGGCGTGTTAATCAGTCCACCCATCTACTTTGACAAAAACTCACATCGGTCGTCCATGAGGCGGGTACTTTGCCAACGGCAGGTTGAAACATATTTGCGATCGTTCTTAGGATTAGGAGAAGGTTCGTCTCACGAGACTTCTCGAGCGGTGATTCCCATGCCGTATCCTTTTGAACGGTTTTGAGCAGCGCTTGGACTATGCCTTGCTTGGTTTCAACACTTTTGAACGCAGATGGACTACTGGCCAGAACCAAGCGTAAAAGATCAATAACTAGGTGGTCGAATAAGTAGAGAGATGGTTGTCTTTTGGTCCTACACGCACCTGGGAAAACCTGAGCAGAAGGCCATCTATCAATGATAGTGGACACTGTTTGTATATGGGACGCCGTAATTGAGGCCACATTATTGGTTGACAGCGCCTGGTACATCTCTTGGAATGTAGATAGTTCGCTCGATTGGAGGGCTGTATCTTCATCCGCGCTACTGACTGTCTGGTTGAGTTCTTGGATCTTCTTTTCCATTGCGGGGACATTTGCTTGTTTGAACGGCAAGCAAGATAGCTGTTCCCTTTAGTTACCCTCTATAAGTATAGGATAGTATGCTTACCACTGGGAGGATCTTTTGCCTCCCGTCACCTCTTGAGCTACCAGTAAATGGGTCTACATTGGCGCTATTCACGGGACCGGAAGTAGGAGCATAGCTGGAGTGTACTTAGAGAAGTCTATAAAATGTATTGCAACCTCCGCTTGCCTTGTAGGCGCCTGTGCTGGTGCACTGGCTTCCCCTCGGGGAACATATCGAGATGCACCTTTCCAAAAGTTCATAAGGGACACCAGAAGATGATTGAATAGCTAACCTGTATAAGGATCCATGTACTGATCACTTACAGTGCCAATTCGAACAGCAGACGTATTCTTGTCGATAAAGTTTGCGACTTCATCAATGTAAGAAAGGGGTAAATCGTTTTTGGTCAAGAAACGATGAGCGGCTTGGTAAGGATTTTCTGTCATATACGAATTTAGTTTTCACTATCAGTAGCTTGAACCCGGCTCACCATTGGCGTTGTAGGGAAGCTTTAATGGAGGTGCACCGTCTTTGATGTCCACATCGAACACATAATCGTACTCTTTGCCATCGAATAATTGTTTGCGACCTGAGCCTACTGCATCCACGACTTCTCCAACTTTTTGCCATGTTTGATTCATGCCATCCCACTACAATGCTTTAGTCATCGTCAAAAGATGGAGGTATGTCAAATACCTGGTGAGCTTCTACAGCGTTTTCATTTCGGATCATTATGACTTGACCATCCTTTTTTCCTATATATAAGTTAGAAAAATATAATAGGCAGGCAGTGGGCATTATCTCACCTGGTTGAGAAAGAGCTTCTTTACCGGGGAGATTAGCCTTGTTGACATCGCCCACTTGTTGCCTAGTTCAATTGATTAGATATTTCATGTGTGTAAAGTTCATAACTCACGATGGCAACGCTTGGTTGGCAATAGTATCATCGTATAGTTTCAGCTGGTCAGCAGGAGCCCAACGTTCCTCTGTGTCACTAAACACTCGAACTATACCATCACTGCATCCACTAACGATGTCACCATTAGGCATCGTTGAGACAGTCCAGACAGAAATAGCAGGGTGAACGATGGTCTGCCAGCATTCTCCATCTTTCCAGACTCTCACCGTGCGATCTTCTCCACTTGAGACAATCTCGCCAGTAGGTAGAAGAGCTAGAGAGTACACAAAGGAGGTATGGCCGACGAGATTGTAAACGAGGTCACCCTGAAGCGTCCATACTCTGATTTCACTGTCGTTTGAGCACGAAGCAAAGCCGATATCTGGAACGATTACCAAGCCTCTCACAGCATCGTTATGGCCGTGGAAGCGATTGACCTCTTTGTGTTGATCCCAAAGCTTGATCATTTTGTCAGCAGAACCCGTCAAAGTACGACTTTCATCGATAGGGAGAACGGCCCAGACAGATTGTGTATGGCCTTGTAGCACATACAACTCTTTGAAATCCTTCCAGACACGGGCGGTCCTGAGATCAGATGAAGATCAGTGGGCGGATTATGAGATAAAGAAACAAGGTGAACATACGAATCCCACGATCCGGAAACCAAGGCACCAGTTGGAGAAGATGCAAGGGCGCACACATTCGCAGTGTGTCCTAGGAGCGAGTAGGCCGGTTCTGTCGAGGGGCTGCCTAGCACGAAGACATTGACAATACCGTCCTGACCACCGGTAACAACGCACCCTGAAAGTGCTATTATAGTGAGACTTGGATAGACAAAGAAACGACTTACCCTGTGGTGCTTCGGATGATGGTGGCATGTACGCTATAGAATTTATGAAGCCTTCACTGGGCTTGTATGTCGCTGAAATAGTGAATGGAGTGTCTGATTGGCCTTTTGACCATGCGATTGCTGTGGAATCTCTTGACGCTGATAAAACTAGACCGGTTGTTGGAGAAACAACCCCTCTGACCTTACGAGAAGCACGTCATCAGACCTGCTAGATCTTAATTATTGATACTAACATCTTGAGAGTGTCCGTTTAAAGAGGCAGATAGTCTATACGGCATGATGGTACTGGTCCAAGTTTGACTAGACGCGCAAGCCAAGCTAGCAGAAAATAAAGAAGCGCTTAAAAATAAACAAAGATCAAGCAAAGGAAATCTGTTTATTTAGTTATCGATATATCGATAGGTGAGGTGCAAGATTATGGAGGAAGATGTTGCCCTGAAAACGAGCCCCTCTGCCCTAAAGTCAACTGGCAGGACGCAGATACTAAGGCATTCTTTCTCCCAAATCCTTCAAAGCAGTTCGACGAGTGTGAAAATACCAGCACGGCGAGTCACCAAAAATGAAGGGGGAAATCAAGAAATCGTGGCCCAAACAAATCGAAAGACTCGGAGTGTCATGTCCGGAGAACATCCCAAACTCATCATCTCGCTCGTGAGACACGGAGAAACAGAAGAAAATCGAAAAAAGATTATTCAGGGACAACTCGACACTTCCTTAAATGCTCTTGGCCACCGTCAGGCAGAATTAGTTGCCGAGGCGTTGCAATCCATTCCCTTCAGACAGGCTTTATCAAGCGATTTGAATCGAGCGGTACAGGTGAATAGTACCAGAACTGATCGAAGAACTGTGATTGATGTTTGCAGACCGCCGAGGCGATACTCAAATCTCACAATCTACCCTTACAAAAGCAGTCTCTTTTACGAGAGAAGGTAACAGTGGATCGATTCATATTATAAGAGATTATACTGAGTTCCGATAGTTCTTTGGCCAGGCAGAGGGTCTACCATGGGGCACCAAGGTAAGAGACAAAGGTGAAAGCCACACCGAGTTCCGGAAGCGTATAATGGGCTGGTGGAAGCAAACAATTCCCACTTTGCTTGCAGAGAGCTTGGAAGACGATTCTGACACGACGAATATTCTCATCGTGGGCCACGGTGCATTCCTTCGGTGCTTGATGGAAGCTTTGGTGGATGTTGGATACAGTGCACCCTGCCTTGTAGCAGGAAAGCGGTTTGGAAGTATTCCTAACACAGGAGTCACGACGGTACATGTCTACGATGATCACTACGGTGATATTGTCACATATGGTGAGATGGGCCACCTTCAGAGACTCGTTGAAGACGATTCAGAGGAGATTGTCAAGGAGAGTGGCGATGATTTGGAGACACGAAGAATGGGTGAAGAAAATCAGTAGAATTCATGCCATTTCGTCCTCGTACTATTACACGGAGAGTTCGATCTAGACTGTACAGGATGGTACCGAGGATGTACTGTGTTTAAATATGTGCTTGTTGATGTGGTGTATATACGAGACGAAATGAGAACGAGGAGTGTCGAAGGTGTCGCCAAACTCTAAATTGCCGTGCGCCAAACAAGCACCACAACAAAACTCCCTCT